AGGCAGAAAACTGTGCCAAATTATTTATCAATATTCTCTATTATGTTAGTTTATTTATCCTTCAACTGAGTACTTTTTTTTTTTAAAGTTGGCATTCCAAGCAGTGAAAAACAATTACCCTCCCCTTAAGGATTGTGTCCACAGAGATAAATTTTATACTCAGGCATAAAGGTTAAAAAACTAAGAAAGTAAGATTTCAAAGTCAAGGAGATGTCTCAGAACACCTGTCAACACTTCCATTCCCACCCTGTTCTCATCTGGACACCATTAGGAGAACCACTAAAATTGAATTCAACTGCTATGTATTATGCATGACTGCATTGTTTACTGTATTGTTTTATGCTATTCAGTTCGCCTGAGATGAAATCAGGCAAAGGAGGTAAATGAAGTCTACCTTCCAAACCCTAGACTGCTGACTCTTATAAAAATTGATTTACTAGTTTATCTAATGTTTTAAAAACTCATTTTATTAAGTTGTAAATCATATCATTCAGTACTACTACATCAGAAGGTAAAATTAATGATAGAGATAAGGACATTCGAAAAAGCCACAGCATGGCGACATGACACCATGAAAAAATTGATGAATAGTGGCTTAGGAGCAGTGACCCAGGGTTCAGATTTAATTTGAATGGTGAAGGGCATCATCCTTTTGAGCTGACTGGATAAGGGTAAGTGCATATTGGCACATGGTTTGATGTCATCATGGGTGACACGGAATAATGGTATGGTGAGAAAATGACATGTGGCATTTTGAAGACCAGAAACATAAAAATTTGAGGTTAGCCCTGAATGAAAGTGCTTTTTCTCTTCCAGATAAGGAAACACTATCCAGTAACTCTGAGATCTAAAAGTTTTGTATTTTTTCCTCCTATTAACTCTTTAGAAGACGTCTAAAAAGAAAACAAAATTGATGGCAGGGTTGCGGGGGTCATGTTAAGTGTAGATGGCAGATAGACAAATTTGTGAGTGAAAATTTAATATCTGTATAATTTTATCAGAATGAAAGAAATATCATCATCATGAGATGCATGCTACGTCAGGAATTTTAGTACCTTTCACATAACAAATATAGTTTCTATGCTTTATTATACCAACGCTTATGCCATCCTAAGGAAGGGGATGGATTTAAATAGAAGATAAAAGGATCTTTAATTTCACTGAGAGATGAAGAAGATGAGATATAAAGTGCACATCAGTATAGGTAATACTTTCTCCAAGAACTTCTATGACATCAATAATCAGTTACTCAGTTATTCTGAAGATTGGTCATAAAGCATCATTAGCTGTCAAAGCTTTATATTGATTAACGTTTAGTCCAAGTCAGCAACTTATGTCGTCATATCTGGCCACCAACCTGTCCTGTGTCAGAAACCAGCTCTGTCATGGCCAACTGGGCATATGTCCCACCAGAGGCTGCAGTTAGGGAAATCAAGGAAAAATTAGGGAAAACAAGGAAAATCAGTCACTGCTGCTCATCACACTGAATTTGGGAATCATGACTGACTTCCTGTGTCAAATGTGCTTATGAAGATCAGAGGGTGTTACTTACAAATGAGGAAAGTAAGACAAGAAAAAGAACCTCCCCCCCCCCCGCTTTAATCACCAAATGACAGATCTAGGAAGTGAATTCTGGTTTTCTGTCTCTGTTTTAATAAGCTTGATCACAACAAGTAATCAGTTTGCTGCCTTTTTTTTCTTTCCTGGAAGAAATACTGCCTATATTTTGAACGAGTCTGAGAAAATGTTTATTTTCAGGGGGAAAAAAGTGAACCCATGATGCAAAATGTAAAACTTAACATTTTTCTTTTATGGAAGGGACTAAAACTAAGTAAAGTTGTATGTTGTAACAACATAAAAGTCAGAAAATAAAGTATTCAGCGAAAGCTTTAAAACGATTTAACATTGAACCAGTTACCAGAGTCTGAAAATGAATCAATCTGTATATACAATGATAAAGATTTGGAGATGCTAATACTGAAAATTTAGTATGTGAGTCAGGCCTCCTGCCTGGTTTGAAATGAACACATTTAAGGCCCAGTGCATGTGACTGTTTCCTGGTTTATGAGTGAGATTGAGGCAAGTGTACACTTGCCCAAGAAAAGTAGACCTCTCCAGAACTCCCCTTCCGACCATTGAGGAATCACACACACAGCATGAGATAATCAGGTCTTCGCTCATAAAATCACCACATTCGTATTTCTTTATTCCTATAAGACTAAAAACTGATTTTTAATGATGAGCAAGCAATTTCATGTCCTTGAAATAGAAACAGGGTTTTAAAAACTTTTATTTCGGTGCATGATACATCCCCGCTCACTCGTTCACCTCTGCAATGACGTTTGAGGGGCTCGGTGCTGTAGCATCTAAATATTTTATACAAATAGAGAAACATGCTAGGATCTTGCCAGTGTCTCCAAAATATGTGGGCAGTGGTGAACATGCCCCACCATCACTTGACTTTTCTTCAATATAGTATCTTTCACATCAGGTACAAATGGAGGAGTAATGCACAGATAGGAAGCATAGGAGTGGGAAAGAAAAATAGAAAAGAACGCAGGGTGTTATAGAAAATAAGCCAAAATACGTAAGACAATAAAGTATAGGTGAGAGGAATACCTGGACAGGAATGTTTACATGTAATGAAATGGTATGTAGCTAAGCTGATCCTGTGCATTATGCTAATTTACTGTATTAAAATATGTACTCATTCATTTTTTAGTCATTTGAACCTCATTCTTATATGATAAACTTATTATCTGGATAGAATTTCAAGGTCCTATTTCATTTCTTTAAAATGTAGGGAACAATAAAATGCAGAGATTAAAGCAATTACTAACTTTTATTTTTTGGGCAACAAATATTTGTTAATGTCCACATGCACTGCAAACAAATAGATTTAGGGAATAAATAAGAGCTCATCACTCTAAGAAGCATAGGTAATAATCAACTAATAAGGATAATGCAACTGAAAACAATATGATTACAGCCGATTTTCACCTTGAGAAAGGGGTCACTGACTTGTTTATTATAGAAAGGATACTAGCAATTGTTGAGTGGTTTCTAGGGAAAGCTGAGAACAAGGATGGCTGGGGTGGAGGGAGGGTTCTTAGAGAAACTGACCCACTAGTAGGCTTCATTTAAAAAAATGAAAGAGCAAAAATAATCAGTGCCTTTCATATGCTTTATCAACAAATAACAGATCTTCACCCAAAATGTTAAGTGAAGACAGAATTATGTAGTATCAAGGCAGATTTTCTTCATTGGCCCATTTAAAAGACCTTTTTTATAAGGTGAGAGAAAAACATTTTAATTGCTCTTTCAATTACACATTCTCTTAAATCTTAATCCAAATGCATATCAGTTCACTGGTAATTATCCATCAAGTTTTGGCTGTATGGATCAATTATTATATTATTAAGTCAATTATTAAGGGCAAACGATCTGGTCATGTTTCAAAAGTGATCCTGATACTTTGATTGTACAATAAATCCTGTTCCCATCTCTTTCTCCAGTTTCCAATGTTTGAGTGGACAGACAGTTTAGAAGATGCTGTGTCACTCAGCATTCCTCCCCAGTCTGGGAGGAGGTTTGAGGAAACCCACAAGTCCATAAGAACTTGTCTACCAGCATTCAGATCTCAGGTGTATGGCTGAGTGCAAAGCTGCATTCATGGAGACAAAAGTTCTTACCCTGCAGGATAAGAGACTTTGCTTCATCAGACCCCATCACATAGTATGTTAGTGAATAAATTCTTGACGACAAAAGGCATTCCTGTGATCCTTTTAATAAAAGCAAGGCTCCGGACTAACTGTATGGAAACAAGGTGGGTGAGCCTTTAGAAATAAAAAGTAAATGCTTAACTGTTCTGAAAAACAGCATAAATAGCTTATTTGGGTTTATACGATGCTAAATGTTGTGCTAGAAGCTATAAAGAAAATAGAAACTATCTTGTTTTTCATGGACAAATATCATTTGTGTAGTTATATTACAGCAATGTGGTGATGTAGGGGTCTAATAATCAGAGAGTAGGCCATTGCGATGAGCCACTCCTCCTTCCTTTCATTGTTTGCTTTATCCATGAAAACAAACTGTGCAATTCTCTTTTCCAAAGTTAGATGATAATTCAGATAATTCAGTATATTTATACATTGTTTACTTTATTTAATAAATCCTCATATCTAAGGATTTCCTAAATTAACGCAAAATAGGAAAAGAATAGCAAAGAGGTAAATATTTTCCTCCTGAATCTAATCTTTTATTAATCTGCATACATGTTATTCCAAATATATACATGTAGATTGCCACATATATATGTGTATAGAATGTATAAATACATATATATTATACATGAATGATTTATTACAGAAATATCAGTGTTTCTAGATTACACTGCATACTTGATGAGCTGTCATTAGTGCAGAAAGGATACATAGCTTTTCAACAAAAGAAAAGAATGAGGCTGCCAGAGTGTTGCAGTGGTTTGGGCTTTTTTTTTTTTTTCCAGCATCCATCCCTGCCAATCTCTGCACTGCCAGTAGGGAAAACCATATCCATGGCAACCAACCGTACCATTCCAACCCACATCAGTGACGCCTCCAATCTAAACTGTCAAATATTCTATGCATATCATGTAAAATAGGTCTCTTTCCCCTTATACCTCTGTGCATCTCGTTTCCGTGGCTACATGTTTATGCAAATGAGAATTGTCCTTTCTCTCTCAGGTTGATTGAACACTGAATTTGTTTTGCACCTTGGCAATGCAAAGCCATGCTGTCTTGCCACCTGGTCTACCACATAATTGCAAAAAATTACATTATAATGATAACTGTCCCCAAATTAGCCTGATAACACCATCTACCTGCCTTGTGAGCGAAAGAAACAGTGTGCAATAAAGAAGGATGTTAAAACAGAGTCGAGATAGGGGAATAATGTTTAATTGGCTCTCCAGAGTCTACTAATTTTCAGAATTGGAAACCTAGTGTTTGATTTGTTCTTTTTAGTCAGTGAGAAGAAAAAATATCCTTCATAAATTCTGAATGACAAATTTGCCCATCCTTTTTTGCATGTGGTTCCAGCATCCCGGAGAATCTAAAGTGTCATTTCCTCTCTGGAAGAAAGGAAGCACAAAACATGCTAGGTATGTACTCTAAATTTTCACTCACTATCAGCTCCAGCTATAAATTTCTCCCAATCCCTGTATCTCCCTCATTCTCTTTCCCTGAAATCCCTTGAAATATCTTGGATCAATAGCTTTCTTTTAAAGTTAAGAGGCAGGATTTTTATAGGGTGACACATATTAAAATTAGAATAAAATAATGCTAAATGTTATAACAATAATGCTATTTATTATTGTATTATTGTATTTACTATTTATTATTGTTTGATTCTCTAACAGAATTGCCTTTTCTCTTTCCCCATCTCCTTTAATCTATTGCCCCCCACATTATTAGATCCTGTAAATAATTCTGTGTGGTAGCAGTGGTAGTGGTTAGTTTCTTTTTCAGAAAAATCACAATTAAACATTTTGCAAATAATAAAAATGATCAATTGCTTTTTATTTCATTCAGTTTGTTATAACTTACATTGATATGATGACTTTAACTAAGGATATTTTTAATGCTAATTTTTCTACAAAAAAGGACTTGAGCAGGTAAAAATGGAGTTTGTAGTGTATTTCCCCAGGGTGTAAGTGACAAAATAAAAGATACTAGATTCTATTATGATAAATGTTGGGGATATGTTTTACTTCTCCCCCTGCTTAATGCCTCTCTCTCTGCAAAACAAATCCTTCAGTATTTAAAAAAAGAAAAAAAATCAGGAACAATTTTATATAATTTCACGAGATTTTTGTCTCAGACTTTGTTTATGAAGACTCTGAGTCACCTTTCAGTAGATTCGGGAGATACAAAGACTTCAAAGATGGACAAGATCTTTTTTCCAATTCAATAGATCATCTGTAAATGTGTCCTGGCCAATGATAAAAAAAATATGAAGTTTCCAAAGCAAGAACTGTAACCGTCTTTTCTCCCATCTCCTTCTCCAAACTCTACATACCTTTTAGGTTTTAGCTGAGGCCCCGCTTTCTCCCTGAGAAGATCACAAAGTGATGACTTCCTTCTCTGATCTCTTGGCTCTGTGAGTGCTGTTGTTTCAGCATTTCATTAGATGCCATTTCCCATTGATATGACTTGTGTCTGACAGGATTGTAAACCCTGGGGCAGAGTTGGAGGAAAATAATTTCATATAATTCTTTTGTATTTTCAATACCGAAAATGAATATTTTGCTCAGTTAAATTGAATATCAAGTCTTGATTGTTCCTGGGTTTTAAGCGGAGACATTTAGGCAGTGAACAGCTAATAAGCAGGCCTCGGGTCATGGCAGAAGAGAAATCAACTTTTTGTTATGTTCACTATTGTTCAAAAAATCACGTCAGATGTTTTACATTTGCAACAGGAATGTTTTCCTTGTTAAAATTTACTTTTAAATAACAGATTATATTCTTCAAAAGCAATAATATTTGAAAGAGAAGACATGATGTCCTTAAAATTCCGTTTGATTGTTGGATCTCCACCAATAATATTGTTTCCTGAGCACTGCTCTTGCCTTTTTGGGAAATTACTAAGGAAATGAAAGACCTAATTTTATAAAGATTACAGTCAAATAAGATGATAAATACATATAAACACAGGTTATACAAAATTAAAAACCATGGTTCAATATCAGTTATGACTGTTAATATCATCATTCCAGTAGATTTACCAACTGTAATAAATAAAATTTCTAGGTATTTTGGAAGACTAAAAAAAAAAAGATCATTGGAGTTAGAGTCTAGAAGTAAAAGTATGGCTGAATAGTTTAAGTCAGATTTATCTGAGGAGGACAAATATTTAAGGACCTGACTTTTTCATAGAGCCAGGGTGTGTGATTTTGGACTTTCCCCACTCAGTCTCAAAGTTGGAGCTCCTTACTCTTCTAAATCACCTTTTCTGGGCACAAGAAAACTTGCTTTTACAATTTCATTCTATGATGGAATCCCTTGCTGATTCCACCTTATTTACCCTTTGACTTTACCCATGCAAATAAGGCAGAAATTCATTTGCAAAATGTAAGGGCCAGAAAGTTTGTTTGAATCCCACAAGCAAAAAAAAAAAGAGAGAGAGTTTATGCAGATGACTGGAAATTGCCATAACGCTCTTATCCATTTTTGTACCTACACAATTAACACTGCCTAGATTTCTCCTACGAAAGAGATTTTTTCATGGAATCATTACAGAGAAAAATAAACAAAATCCAAAAAAGTCTGACAACTAAGAGCAACCACTTGTGAAGTGATAATACGAATATCAAATAAATAATAATAGCAAATTCTTGTGAGGCACTATGTTCAAAGCACTGTTTTTAATCCCTTTATATAATCAAAATCATTTGATCCTCATGATAGCGTTATAAAGGGTACAATATTGACCTTGTTTTACAGAGGAGAAAACTGAGGCATAAAGGGGTACCAAAGTTACGCAGCTGGGAAGTAGATCTCCCAAGACCAGATTATCTTGCTATAAAGTCTCCAAAGTGTTAAACTTCTCATTTTTATGCCATATGACCTTTCAAGAAATACTTTTATTCTCAATTATCACAATAAAGTTGTATCAGTAAAAAAAAAAGTCTTGAAATTATGATATTCCAAAATTCTGTCATCATAACTCAAATTCCCTTTCATTTAATCTTTCAAAGCATGAAATTGAATCTTCTCTTGGGGAGAAGAAACCCTTTCTGAAAGATTTCAAAATTGGAAACATTACTTTTAATGCCAGCAATGATGTAGAAGGTTTATGGTGATTTTTTAAATATCTGGATATATGTTCATTCATTCAGGCCAGTAGTTACTAAGTGCCGGCACCGTTCTTGGCTCTCAGGATCCAGCAAGGAACCAAAGAAAGATCATGCCCTCATGGGACTCACATTCTAGTGAGAGGAGAGATTAGAGAATGAAGAATAGAATAGAATAGAATAGAATAGAATAGAATAGAATAGAATAGAATAGAATGGAATGGAATGGAATGGAATGGAATGGAATGGAATGGAATGGAATGGAATGGAATGGAATGGAATGGAATACAATGTAATACAAAAGATGACAGATGGTGAGAAATGCCATAGAGAAAAATTAAACAGGATAAGGGTTTATAGAGCAAGGAAAAGGAGGCTGCTCCTTTAACAGGCCAGAAAAGGTTTTCTTGGTACAGTGATATTTGAGCAGAAATTTGAAGGAAGTGAAGGAGGGAGCCCAGAGGTTGGAAACTGACTGGTAGGTTCAAGGATTGTTAGGATGGCTGAATTGGGTAAGGGAGAAATTGCTGTAGGAGATGCCATCTGTGAGGCAGCAGATGGTCAGATCATGGAGACTTGCAGGAAATTTTTACATACTCTTCCTTTTACTCTGAGAGAGACGGGAAGCCATCCAAGGGTTTTCAGCAGAGGAATGATAGGGACTGATTTATTTTGTAAAAGGATCACACCGACTCAGGGAAATATGGACTGGAGGGTTGGATGAAATCCCAGAACCCAGCTCCAGAGGCTGTTATATCATCCCAAGCAGTAGGTGATGGTGGCTTGGACCAGATGGCAGGAGATGACTTGTAAGGAGAGATTTCAAAGTTGTAAACTGTAAGATTTTGTAATATTTAGATGTGGAATGTGGAAAACTCAAGGTGTAAAGGATGACTCTATTCTATTACAAAATGAAATAGGAAGTTTTATGCTTAGATAAAAAACTGTAGGTAAAGGCTAAGTATTTGAAATTAATTAAAATTATAAAAGTTAAAATTCTTCTTCGACTCTGAATTTGTTAGATACTCAATTTAAAACAATTATCATTACTTCTTTAGTGCTAGTGTTATCCAACTTTTCCTTGAAGACACAACTTGATAAGTTAGCAGAATTCTCTAACTTAAAAACAATAGTCCTTCTCCTCAAAACCCTCTTTTTTGGTCTTCCAAATCTCAGATGTTTTCCCCTTTTGTCCTACTTCTTAAGCTATTCTCTCTTAGTCTTTTTTGCCAGCTCCTCTTCCTTGGCATTTCTTAACTCCCAGTTCTTTCTTTGTATTTTGTTACAAGCCATCTTTTTATGTCCATCTGTAACTCTACTTGGACCAGCTGCACCACTAGAAAAGCTTTAATTATTGTCTAAGTCCTGATGATGTAGAATTTTCTAGCCCTAAACTGTTCAGTATAGTAGCTAAATGCTGCTGGTGCTTATATGCTAACAGTGGTACTATAGCTAAGAGTGGAAATATAGCTAATAGTGCTAGTGGTGGTAGGATTATGGGTAATCCTACTGAACCCTATATATGCTATGTGTAACCCTATGTGTAACATATCTAAGTATATTGTATATACTCTTTAATACATTTTATGGTTTTTCTCCTATACATACATACCTATGATGAAGTTTACTTTAGAAATTAGGTACAGTAAGAGATTAACAGCAATATCTAATAATAAAATAGAACAATTATAATAATATACTATAATAAAAGTTATGCGAATGTGGTCTTTCTCTCTCAAAATATCTTATTGTATGGTCGTCATCCTTCTTGTGATGGCATGAGATGATAAAATGCCTACATGATGAAATGAAGTGAGGTGAATGACGTAGGCACTGGGACATAGGATTAGGCTACTATTGACTTTCTGACTATAGGTCAAAAGGAGGACCATCTACTTCTGGACTGCAGTTGACCACGGGTAACAAACTGGAAAGTAAAACTTTGGTTAAGGGAGACGACTGTATAGTAAAGGCGACAGTTAAAATTGGTGAGGAAAATATATACAATTTGATAAAAATTGTTGTGGCATCCAGTTAACCACTTGGCAAGGATAAATTTAAAGCCCTAACCCACACCTTAAAATAAAATTAATTCTCCAAATGGATTGAATATAAGTACATAATAAAATTTAAAACTACTAGAAGAAAATACAAGTGCATATATACAGGTGAAGAAAGCCCTTTCAGTGAAGACTCAAGGCAAAAATTGAAAGACAAATATTTTAAGACATCTGTCTGGGGAAAAGTACAACAATCCAAGTGAAAAAGCAAATGACAGACAAGGAAAAATAAAACTATGTGTGACAAAAAGGGATTAATGTCTAAGATGTAGAAATCTTACAAACTGGTAATAAAAATAACATGTAACAGGCAAGGTACAAAAATCAGAAATACAAATGATATGATGAAAAATATTTCATCTTACTAGTAATCATAACCATGAATGAAAGACTAGATATCCTCTCTCTTCTCATCAGTTATCAGACTGTCAAAGAGTTAAAGTAGGAAAATGCCCCGTATGGTTCACTGAAAAGAGATGGGCTCTCACAGATTGTTGGCAGGAGTAAAATTAGTAGAAACTTTCTACAGTGTAATTGGAAGTAATGTATTTAATTCAGCAATTCCACTTCCAAGAATTTTTTCAATAATCAGATAGATTCATAAAGATAGAAATGTGAAGATATGTATCAAAAATATTATTTATAATGTGGGAAAGCTGAAAATAATTTAAATGTACAGCTATAGGTTATTACTTGAATAACTCATACATCCTTAAAATGGAATTCTACTCAATCATTACAAATGATGGTGTCAATCTATATTGATCAATATGTAGCATGTTGATAATATATTGCTAAATGCTAAAGGTAGTTTTCCAAAAAATATGTCCCGCTATGATCCCACTTTAAAGATACATATATTTCACCCATACACATTGAAAATAACATACAAAAATATTGTCCAAAATGCTAATAGTGGTTCTATGCTATTGGTGGAAATACACCTAATAGCAGTTATGGTGGTAGGATTATGGGTAATTTTTTTCTGCTTGCTTTTATTTTTTGCATCTCTCCTTCTACACAAACATGAATAATTTAAATAATTTTAAAATGCAACAAACAAATACATATATTGATGATTCATAGCAGTGCTAGAAGCCTTAGACCAGATGCTGTGTTTATATTGCAAGAGCTCACTTGTGCCGCATTTCTTCTCTACTTTCTGAGGCAGTGACACCTCTTGTCCAGAATCTCCACAGCACATGTATGTAGGTGCTTACTTCGGAGCCCCCAGCCTGAATTCAGTCCAGCTGCAGAGAGCAAGCTCTGCCATGCTCATCCTCAGGAAAACATGGCCATTTTGGCATTGTCTCACACTGGGTGCCTGAGCTGCAGAGACTGTTGTTAATCCCTTAGGAAAGGGTCCGCTGGGATTTCCATGTGTCTTCTTACATACAGCCTGGTCCTCCTTGTCCCCGAGAGGAGAGTTTGGTTTCATGTTCTTTATTCTAAAACAATTATTTTGTTTATGTTTAGAACTTCATTCTCAAACAATTATTAAAAAACATAAGAATTTTGCTCACTTGAATAAAATCTCCCATTTATTTTTCAAGGAATCTTGTAAGCTATGTTGGGCTGCTTTCATCTTCTCACATATTAGGAAAATAAGATTCAGAGATTTTATGTGATTTTTTTTTCAAGGTGGCAGCATGAGTATTCAGACTCAGCTATTTTTCTTTCAAATCTGAAGATCGATTTTATTTTATCACATAGCCTTCTACACCTGTCATTGAAAGCCATAGACTTTAAATAACTAGCAAGAAGAGAAAACCCAAATGCTTTTGATTGTAAAATATGATTCTTAAGAAATTATAATTACTTCATAAAATACCTTCCAACTTTTGTTTTTATTTTGCAATTAGAAATAGCACAAAAGAGAAGAGAAAGGGAAAATATTCTTTAAATTCCCTAAACAGACTGTTTTCTGAAAGCTACTTCTTGCCCAAGATTTTTTTTTCTTTTAATTACTCAGCAAATAAAACTGGAATAAACACACTGTGAAATCTACTGATTTATATGTGTTACAGATGGTGTACTAGAAAGAAAACACTAAATTCAAGGAAAAATATATATGACACAATGCTGCAAAGTATGCCACTCATCTAATTCATCCAGTATTCTTCAAATATAATGAAAATTATCATTATATTTTTAAAATGATAATGTGGCTTATATCTTAAAAGCTTAAAGTAAGGTGGAAAATGGTCTAAAATATTTGTAAATCAAAGGTTTACAGCTAACTCTTTATAAAAGCGTAATTTGGTGTAATATTTTTCTGATGCTGAATGAGCCTCCTAGTGCATTAACATCCAACCAGCAACAATATCATGCTCTACAAACATCATTGTCAAAGTGTCCAATCAGTTTGTTTGTATTAAGAATCATCCCCTATTCCTATTGGTTTTCTGCACATCGACATTCAACTAATGGACTCAAAGTCCATGTTATGTATGTTAATCTAAAATTCCTCTGTATATAACCTATGCAGAAATAACTGAAAAGGAGAGCATATTGGTCATACTACTTTCATGTTTGAAACCCAACAGTTGCATTCTCTGGGTCAATACCAAATAGAGATTTTTCTAATAGGTAATATAACTTTTCATTACAAATTAGATATGGCATGTGCTCTTGCAAATAGTCACATTTCTTTTTTCTTGATTGATTCTTAAATTAGTTATCAATGCAAAGTCATTAGTGACTCCTTCAAGTCCTCCAGCTATGGGGATTGGTCAACAGCCTGCTGAAATGCTGATCAATTTTACATGATTTCATTTGCCTTCTTCATGTTTGCAAAAGTTTACTGGCATAGAGACCCATGGGTCTGCATACTGTTTTTTAATGAGTTATAAACAGTCGTTCTCATTAAAAAAATACATTTTAGAAAATTTAAAAAAGAAAAAAAATCACACAGTTACCACAGTAACACAACTATTTTTTGTGTTTATTATTTCTAGTCTTTTTTATTAATGAATCTTTAAAAAGTATATATATATTTTTTAAAATGTGCCTTTTCTTTTTCTCCCTTTGACTTGTAGATATACATAATTGCAGGAATCAAAGTCCTTGGTTCGTGACAACATTCTAATTAGTGGTTCAAGCATGTACTTATTTGTAATACTATAAAATCCCTCAGAAATTCACCACCATCCCCACAAAAGCTATGAGCTTGACAATAACCTAAACACACACTGTATTTCCCATCCCTCAGCTGCCTTCCCCCACAGAAGTGGCATTCAGAATTCTATTGTTATTATTCCCTTACTTCATATATATGAAGTACATTTCATATGTATTATATACATTATACATATATACATTTATTGTGTGTGTATATACATACATAAATTGTAAATTATACTTATATGTGATCCTAAAAAAATACGTATTTTATTTCTGACTTTATAAAAGTTTAGTATACTGCACGTAATCTTTTGGAATCTACTTTTTTCATTTAATAATCTCATTACTAAGGCTTATTCATAATGCTGTCTATCATTCTACGTCATTCATTATGACTTTGTATAGTAGAACACTGTGACTATATCACACTTCTTTCATCTATTCTCACTTAGATGGGCATTTGGGTTGCCATTGTAATAATCTTCATAACTATCAGTTTTAGTAGTTGCATGGTGTTCCATCAATTTTCTTAATCAATTCTCTATTTTTTTATTTAGTTGCATCTAATACTTTGCTCTATTGATCAAGGATGAAGTGACCACCTTTATAAGAATAGATTTTCTACATTAAATATTATACTTTAGATAACTAGAAATGGAATTATTAAGTTGAAAGATATGAACATAATAGATATTTCTAATTTACATTCTGAAGAATAACTCCATCAGCAATTGTACAATTACTAGGTTCATAAGCACTGACTTATTCATTTATGGTTGTTAATTTAAGAGATAGTTATGTTTTGTTTTTAGGTTTCACTGACTTCAATCAATCAATATTGACATAGAACTTAAGATTTGGAACCTTATCTTCTGATCTGATAATTTTTCATTTGATGAGGAAAGGCGTTAAGGTAAGACATTACAAAGTTAAGACATTAAAAATGAAATAATGGCTTACAGCCTGGGTTGAAAGTCTGGTTTCAAATTCTGAATGGAATATATTGTCAGTGAGCATTATTTATTCTTACTAAAGTGATTCCAACTTGGAAATGATGAAGCTGAAGCTCAAAGAAAAGGACAGAATTTCCTACAACTTATGTAGCTCATTTTCTGTCATACTATATTGCTTTCCAACTGATCAAATATAAAATAGACCATCCAAACTTTGATTTCATTTTCATTTTGAATGATCTCTCTTCCACATTCCTGTAGGATTTATAATCCTGGTCTTGCAATGTACTACCTGAATATGCTCCTATTATTGTTGTTGCTCTTTTTCATGAAGAGCACTCCTTCCTTGCTGATTCCTCTCCCATGAATTCATCCCTCATAATGGGCTGAACCGTGCTACGCCTAGCATAGTTTGTTAGTCCAGACTTGCTGAGCTGACCTGTCAGAAGTTATAGTCTTTCTACATTGGAGATATTTCCCTGTTATTCCTCTAAATCAAAGAATTATTAATTATATAGCTTCGAAATCTCATTTTTAACACACTTTTTAAAACATTCTCTGTGTTCAATAATATTAATATTAATTACAGTTTACATGACATTGTGGCATAATGTGTATTGCAGTGCTTGTGTAATTTATATAAATTTCTGCCATGATTTTTATGCCCTAGGAATGATCACCTGACTTGGCCAATGGAAACAGTAATTGGGAACTTTTTTTTTTTTTTCCAGGCTCACACAGGGTGAGAACACTTGCCGGGCACTCATATAACACACTGACGCTCTCTTCTCAATAACCACAACCACAGACAATTGTCGTTCAGCCTGATTCATCCCTAACAAAGCAAGCACATATTTAACACTTAGTCTTGAAGACTAAAGTCAGCGATTTTACTCATCATAACTGCAAGTTCCCACCCTTTTCCTCCATGCTTGCAATCTGCGTCTGAATTGCCTGATGATTACTCTCCTCGGTTCATTTTGCTCACTCTTATAAACAGTCGCCAATCCTTGTGGCCTGTGCAAAAATAGACCCCTGGGTGGGTCATTCATTGTGTGTCCAAATACTGGACAAATTTGTAAAACAAATTCATATTTTCACTTCTGTCATATTTCTCCTAACCTCAACCTGGAACAAATAGCTTTCCCTAAGGTTTTATTAAAAAGGAGTATGCCCATATAGAACATGTTCTCTTTTTTTTCTCTTTCTGATAGAGCAATTTCTTTGACTGAAGAAAGATGAATTTCACACATTTATTACATAAAAGATCCTCAGCCCCTCTTCCTTAGTAACCTGACTACAGTGCACAACATTTAGTTAGCAAAACCCTTTGCTGTATTAAATACATCCTTTCTTTGCAGCCCTGACAGTCTATGCATCCCCCAGAACATGGGCTGATTTTATGTGCACAGAAAGTGGACAATGAGCCCTTTAAGACACTCTTTTCAAAGGTAAGCATATTCTGCACTATAACACATAATGCATTTTCTCAAGGACTTCTCTGTATTTTGCAAACAAGGACTGAGGGTATTTGGTAGATGTGGAATCTGATTCATGGAAAGCTGAAATAACCAACCCGAGCTCAAACAGGCAGTCCCTAGAGAAGTTTGTTCAGAACCTTGACCTTTTAACTCTACCTTTTGCTTTAACATTATGTAGGATCGATTTTTTTCACCCAGCCAGAAGAAAAAAAGAAAAAGCTTTAACAGACATTTGAGAATGAATTATTACCTCTTACTCATCTTGATATATAAACCCTTGACTGTCAATGCTAAGCAAGAAAATATCAAGGGAAGAAATTCAGTTATATTGAAACACCATCCATAAACACCACAACAAGAAATGCAGACCACTTTAAAATACTAAGTTCTGGTAGCTGTGAACTTTTGAATGGATTATGTGAGATAAAAATTAATTTTGCTGGATCTTAAAATATATTTTCCCATTGAAATTATGTGTATCTGCTGATTATGTTCTTGGCAAAGAATGGGGAAAAAAGCCTATTTACTGTAAAATAGACTTAAATGATGGTAATAATAGTACTATTTCAACTACACCTCACACGTTTCAGTGGGAGAAAACCTTTCCAGCTCCAGACTTTCACACCAGGACCACTTCAAAAGCAGATGTGACTGATTCTGGTGGTAGCAGGAGATGCATAAGGAACAGGCCAAGCGACAGAAAAGCTAGAGATAGAAGCAGGTTTCAAAACCAGTATCTTAATTCTGCATTTCTATAGGATAGATGTCATTTTTCTGTCTGCATAAAGGATGTCAGACAGTCCTCAGGTTCTCTGAATTGAAAAAGAATAAGCAGTTACTCTCTAGCAAGTGGGAATCTGAATGCAGACCATCCCTCATTCCACATGTGGACCTGCATTGTGTGCAAGAAAGCAGTCTCTCTGCTGGTGGCACAAGACTCAAGATAACACACAGGAAGGAAGGGTCATCGAGGAGGGAGAAAACATATGGCAGGGTAAGTCTGGGTAAGGAATATCTTAATTTGTAGAAAATGGACCCCTAGTAGTCATAGTGAAGAAGAAAAATATATTGAATGATGAGTCATACTCAAGGCATGCCTTTAGTATTTAAGTGGGAAAATCTGCTTTGATCCCTGGTTTCCACATCTCTGAAAGGAGGATATTAAATTCAATGATTTCTCAAGGCCTTCTCAGCTTTAACATACTATCTTGTGCTGCCAGCATGCATACACAATACAGTTGTAGGGAGGGGCCAAGCAGGGACCTGGCAGAAACCTATATATGGAAGATGAAGCCTTGAGAAGAAAGTGACTGGGTACCAGCCAGAGCCCAGTGAAAAGCAGAACCCAAGGTGGAGAGTGGGGACTTGGAACCGAGGTAGAGACCATGCTCAGAGACCATGCTTTTGAAACTGCTTCCAGGGTAGGTTCATGGGTGAGCTGGCACCGAGCGTCAGAGTATGGAGCAAGACCCCTTTAAACACCTTCTTGTGTAGGCATCCTCAACCATTGCATCATGTTGTGTGAGGGTAGAGATGTCTAAACTATTCATACTCTTTTATTTTAACTTGAATTAACACCCTTTTGGTATTGACTTTCCCCTTTCCTGCAACCCCACTGAAAGTTACTACCACAGTAAGTCATTATTTCTGATGAAAATAAGCCACAGCCCTTGGCCGAGATGGAGAGGGGATAGGGTTGAGAGTTAAGGTGATGTTGGGAGAAGAAGAAAGGGTGTACAGTGACTGAGACCAGGCAGAACCTAAAAAATATATTGACCATCTGATTGTTTTAAGTCAAATATAGCATTAGATTATATGGTCTATCTTGCTTGGAGTTAGCTCTAAATTTATTTAGCTGTTAAATGAAGTTGTATACTATATCCAAAGTATTAGAAGTACCTATTATAATATTATTGGTAAAAATTTCCTATTTTTATCCGTGGCCTTGAAACATATAAATACATTGGTATATTATGTCATGAAGTCTTCTGATGTTCCCCCTCAGTTCATTTTGATTTTGCACACATAACTTTATTTTTTTAAAGATTTCATTTATTTATTTGACAGAGAGAGACAAAGCGAGAGAAGGAACACAAGCAGAGGAAGTGGGAGAGGGAGAAGCAGGCTTTCCACTGAGCAGGGAGCCCAATGTAGGGCTCGATCCCAGGACCCTGGGATCATGACCTGAGCTGAAGGCAGATGCTTAACAACTGAGCCACCCAGGTGCCCCTGCACACATGACTTTAGAAAACATTTTGTACACCGCTAAGATAAGCAAGACAATTATTTATGAGAATTTACTGCATTGTTATACCTGTAATATTCTTCAGTAGGTAGATGATTGTCTACTAATTAAAATCAAGATTTTAGAGATTTAAAGGAGAAAACGACATAATTCATTGCTAAGCAGTTGGTAAGAATAATCATATTACAAAGAAGCTGAAGAGATCAGTCAATATGGAAAATCATTTAAACTTAGAAACACATTTTCCTTTAGATCTATATAATTGATAAGAAGTTTTCTGTTTCCCATTAAGTGGTTGAGAAACCTCCATGGCATATTCACAGACCATGACACTTACGCTCTAGGGTGGCTGAGCCTCATATTTAAAATAAAAAAACAAGTTGTAGTAACAAGTAAAGTGGATCAAAATTTCACTAACACCTGAAACACAAACATAGACTTTCATGAGACAATCATCTCTAAGATAAACGAGTAGGAAAGATATTTAACAGGGACGAAAGTAATTTTTCTCCTAAATTAGTTGTTAGAAATTTCAACTCCTATGGAATCTCACAGGAGCTATGATATTAAAGAGAGATTTATGTCAACTATACATCATAAGAAAAAAGGGAGAGATTTGGCATGCAAGATAGAAATATGAAGCTAAATTATAAAATGGGGTTCAATTATAAAATGGGGTACTTAAGCATGACAAATATAAGAGCAAGGATTCTTAAATAAAAAGTTGTAATAAGTTAGATGTGAATTTTCAGTGTAGTATGAGAATCAAATTATCATAAATTTGGATATTGAGTCTACAGGAAGGAGAAAATTCAACTAATATTTATTAAGAACCTAAAATAAGCCTGGTGCTACTAGGTCCTTACATATTTATTAGTTCATTTTAATTCTCACAGATCAATATTAATATTGACAGTATGGCAGACAAAGAAACTGAGGGTCTAAGAAATCAAACAAATTTGTTTAAAATGATATACTTAGTCCTTCTGATTGCATGAAACAGTGCTCCAAATCTGTGATATGCACAGGACAATCCTACATTGCTCGTATGTTCTTTTAGGCATCTTACTACTTGAAATATTTGAAGATGTTTATCATTTGCAAAGATGGAAGTTCCATCTATTAAATAAGATTTGTAGTCAAAACAAGTGCCTTGTTTTGCCATTTGACCCTGGGCGAGTTGCATTATGGGTATGGAGGACACTGTGCCCCATTTTCCTCATCTATAAAGAATTATTTATTTATTTGAGAGAGAGAGCAAGAGCATGAACAGGAGGGGCAGAAGAAGAGGGAGATAGAATCTCAAGTACACTCTGCTGCTCAGCGTGGAGCCTGACGTGGGGCTCTGTCTCATGACCCTGAGATCATGTCCTGAGCTGAAACCAAGAATCAGAAGCTTAACTGACTGCACCACCCATGCTCCCGTTCCTCATCCATAAAATGGGCACAAGAATAGAACCCACCCATAGGCTGCTATGAGAGTGAAATGACATAAGGTATGTTAGAGGCCATGAAAGAGATTGAAGAATAAGAAGTGATTAATAAAATTATTATTTACTCTTATGATTAGCTTTCAGATATTTCATTGGTTTAAATAATCCTTTTTAGATTATAGAAAACAGGAAATCTGCTTAAATAAAACACACTGCTTGCTCCTGTAAACGTTACACCTTTCAAGAGAAGAGTTAGGTCTATTACTCAAAGCACCCAGGTGGTGTTGAGAGTGATCAATAAAGTAAAGCCAATCATTCTATTTCAGGTCCTCGCTAACCCAGAGATAATCAAGTCTTTGGAAGATTTCAAGTAAAACTAGACAGGAAATTATAAAGTACTAAGTGAACACACTGCATATATTGAAGATCGAAGAGATGATCCAATAATTATGTCATGTTTACCTTAAACTGTTAACAGGTTTGAACACGTAAAAATTATTTCTACTTTAACTTCCTTAGTGCCTAAACTGGATACAAATGGTGATGTTATTCTCACAGGGAAACAGTTTCTTTTCACTTTTTTGTGAAAGCATTTTGAAAAGTTGAAAAGCATTTTGAAAAGTTGGAAGTAATGTATTATCATAAAGTGTCAAACTAGGAAGCAATGAGCTTTTCTATATGGCAAATTCTGAACACTATAAACCTGTAAAAAAAAAATGACAGTAAGTATGTAATGTAATTTCTGGAGACTGATTGGAAAGTAGAAAATTTCACATAAGATTATGTATGTGTTCTAGAATAATCTTACAAGCAAGGGTATCTTAGGATACCTGAGAAAAATGAGACAGCAGTTTCTTGATTGGCTTGCTCAGAGGGCAGTTGTGCCAAGGGAGAGCCTATTGGCTCTCGTTTGTTTTTTCTCTTGATTTCAACTACTTGTTTCCAGTCCTGTGCATTGAAGGGAAGGGGAAATAAAAGACTTGAAGCAGCTTGGTCAGAATATCCATGAGATATTCTTTTGTGTGTGTTTTCTTTAAATGCAGGAAAAATTGTGATATATACAAACTTTTTTTTTCTTTTTCCTTGTCCATCATTTCTATATATTTTGGGTTTTTTTGTTTTGTTTTGTTTTTTAAAAAAAGATACAAACAATCTTCAAAGTTTACCTTTTTGGACTTAAGGCATAACATGAAATTGCACATTATTCTAAAGCTTAATTTTGATATATACTAACTTTTAAACAACTAAATTCATGTTTTTTGAACTTCAACGAAAAACGATGAGTCTCACATTATGAGGATAATTTAATAGAAACAATGGCTTGGAAGAGGGAGGAATTTCAAATAAAGGAAATGAATTCCTTTTCTGCTGCCGTGGAATGAGGTAGATGAGATGCATGAATGGGAGACAACTGTTCAGACTTGATGACCTTCAGACAATTCGTGTTATTAAAAATAACATTTGGAGAACTATTGGGACTTCATCAAGATAAAAAGCTTTTGCACTGCAAAGGAAACAGTCAACAAAACCAAAAGACAACCGACAGAATGGGAGAAGATATTTGCAAATGACATATCAGATAAAGGGCTAGTATCCAAAATCTATAAAGAACTTATCAAACTCAACACCCAAAGAACAAACAATCCAATCAAGAAATGGGCAGAAGACATGAACAGACACTTTTCAAAGAAGACATCCAAATGGCCAAAAGATACATGAAAAAGTGCTCAACATCGCTCGGCATCAGGGAAATCCAAATCAAAACCTCAATGAGCTACCACCTCACACCAGTTAGAATGGCTAGAATTAACAAGTTGGAAAACGACAGATGTGGGCAAGGATGCGGAGAAAGGGGAACACTTCTACACTGTTGGTGGGAATGCAAGCTGGTGCAGCCACTCTGGAAAACAGTATGGAGGTTCCTCAAAAAGTTGAAAATAGAGCTACCCTATGACCCAGCAATTGCACTACTGGGTATTTACCCCAAAGATACAAATGTAGTGATCCAAAGGGGTATGTGCACCCCGATGTTTATAGCAACAATGTCCACAATAGTCAAACTATGGAAAGAGCCAAGATGTCCATCAACAGATGAATGGGTAAAGAAGATGTGGTATATATATACCATGGAATATTATGCAGCCATCAAAAAAACCCTGACATCTTGCCATTTGCAATGACGTGGATGGAACTAGGGGGTATTATGCTAAGCGAAATAAGTCAATCAGAGAAAGACAAGTATCATATGACCTCACTGATATGAGGAATTCTTAATCTCAGGGAACAAACTGAGGGTTGCTGGAGTGGTGGGTGGTGGGAGGGATGGGGTGGATGGGTGATAGACACTGGGGAGGGTATGTGCTACGGTGAGTGCTGTGACTTGTGTAAGACTGGTGAATCATAGACCTGTACCTCTGAAACAAATAATACATTATATGTTAAAAAAAAAAAAAGAAAAGAAAAGAAGATAGTAGGAAGGGAAAAATGAAGAGGGGGAAATCGTAGGGGGAGATGAACCATGAGAGACTATGGACTCTGAGAAACAAACTGAGGGTTCTAGAGGGGAGGGGGTGGGGGGATGGGTTAGCCTGGTGATGGTTATTAAAGAGGGCACGTATTGAATGGAGCACTGGGTGTTATATGCAAACAATGAATCATGGAACACTACCTCAAAAACTGATGATGTAATGTATGGTAATTAACATAACATAATAAAATAAAATTTAAAAAATAACATTTGGAAATACTGAAGTTGTAGTTCTTAGATATGGCTACAAAGCCAATGTTTATTGTAATTAATGATTTAAACATTTATGAAAAACAGTCTTAGCAGTTCATAAGAACCTAAGTGATGAAACTTAGAATGAGTAGCTAGATATTTTTAGCAATCACTTCCATGAAAAAAATAATCAACCTGAAAACAATAACAAAAGCAACAAACTGTCTCTGTCTTCACAGTTCTGCACTGGAAGAAAACAGCTTTGCTTCTCTTATTAGATGTTGTCAGAAATGTTGCCCCACCCTTGCTCCAGAGAGCTATTCACTTGATTTTCACATGAGATGGCTCCATAATCCAAGAAATTTATAGAGGAAACATGAAGAATTTTATCAATAATTTTAACATGATCCTTTCCAATGTCTTCATTGATTACTAAAGATAAGCCATCTTCCTCATTTCATGGAAAACAATTTTCAAGTGCTCATTACAGCCCAGCTAAGGGAACAGAGAACTGTCTTGTCATTAGGCTTTTATTGCATTCATAAGATGTGTTGCATCCCTAACAACAACCGAGTGAATTCCATTTCACCTTTCCTCCACCCACAGTGCTGTCTGCATCAATTATCAGGGTTGAAAAATGATGTCTGGGTGTCATTCTCAAAGTAAAAAAGGGCTTGACCTTGTCAATCCGGTCACAATTAAAGGGTGCAGTATGACCTTGGAGTAGAGTTTAGAAAAGTTGGGCAGATGGAAGGCAAATAAAAATATTGCTAGTTGAATGGCAAAACTGTAATAGTGGCAGTTTTGTTGGATATACAACTAGAAACAGTCCAGTGAAACAATAGTCTTAGCCATAAAATTTCATTTGGAAATTCATTCTGAATAATTCAATTTAACAACCAAGAGGAACATAACATCCGTATATGTTTTATTTGTAGTTTAAAATATGTCTTGTCTTTTAGTTTAACATTATTTCATTTTGATGTAGAAGTTCTCAATTATGTACTTCTTCCAGTAATTTCTCATAGGATGAATAAGGGAGTTGTCCCATTGCATTTGAAGATTCCCTCCAGTGCCCTGAGGCTCTTTCTCCCCTATCCAGCATTTAATTCCTCAGAATTTTCATTCCTTCTGGTTGTATAGCATAATGTATGAATGTCCTCTTAAATAAATTGTGTTACTGGAGTTCTTCCTTGTTCTGAGATTGAAAGTAGACACTAAATATTTAGCCATTAGTGTCTCATAAAAGTACATGTCCATTTTTTTTCATGTTGGAAGTCACCAATTAAAACTTTTACTTTTGAAGGAAGAAAGTATTCATTTAATCAAGATTTAATAAGTGTCTATTATATACTAGGAATGATGTATATAGTAGGCACTGGAGATAGACCTGTGAACCAAATTGAAATCTCTGCTATCATACAACTCATATTTTGTTTCAAAGAAGGTGAATAATAAAGAAAGTAAAGTAAAATAAGAAGTGTGTAAGATAGTTGATAAATGTATAGAGAAAAATTAAGCAGGGAGGGGAGACAATGGGCACTGGACAAAGTAGGGGTTTGTTCTGAGGTGAGTTTGGGTAGATCTTGCCACAAAGAACACATCTGAGCAAATTTCCAAATGAGGTGAGTTGGGGAGCCATCAGGATATCTAAGGAAGACTGTTCCAGGCACAGGAAAAATCAGATACACATGGGAGCCTGATGTTTGGTGGAAGAATCAGTGTGGCTAAAACTTAGAGCTTGGAGGAGGAATCAGAGTCTTAGAGGGAAAGGTGTGAGTGTTGGGGTGAAGAAGTTGGGGGTGGCGGATTGTTTAGTACTCTCTTGGCCGTTCCAAGGACGTCAGTCTTTTTTCAAGTGAGTTGGAAGCCACTGGAATAGAATCTGGGGGAATTTTAGATTGCTCTTTAACGATTATAATGCTCTGAGGCTTTTTTCATTGGAGATATTAAGGAACTATAATTCAATTATTTTTATAAGTAGATTAAAACCTCCTAGCTGCTCACTTTATGTAGTATGATGTGTAAATTTTAAAATAGATCCCTTTATATTAAATCTGTCAGGCTACAAATAATTATTTTTTGTTTCTGGAAGCAGGAAGTTGAATTAGCCAATTTTACTGAGCCTACAGCATTTTGCTAGCTATTCAGAAACTTAACATGATGCGGGGCCAAAGTGCTATCTAGTTGAGATGCTATGCACGTTGAAGAGATTCAATTAGTAATCTGGCTCAATGAAAAATTTCTAAGTTATAGCAGGAACTACATAAATTCCTGAAAAGAGATAAAGAAAAAAGATCTTTAAAAACACAATTTAATATGAAAGTTTTCTTTTTACTGGTAAAAGTTTTGGAGTCTTTATAATACTTATGAACAATTATTTATTGCTTACTAAGTTTAGATACTGAATAAACTCTTTATGTTTATTATCTTTGTCACACAACTATTATTATTTCCTAATATTATTATGATGTATTAATATCACCATTCCTGTTAGTAGTAGTAGTAGTAGTAGTAGTAGTAGTAGTAGTAGTAGTAGTAGTAGTATCTGTTATTACTAGTAGAAATGAAAAATCAAGCTTAAATTTAGGGAGGTCAAGTAATTTTTACAGTGCAGAAGAGCCAGAATTGGTTTCCAAACCCAGCTTTGCTGACCTTAAAGTCTACACACTATCGAAAACGGCCTCTGCTTTATAAAGTTAACATTGGCAAACTTAGAAATCAACTTGCAAAGCTATTATGCATGGAAGCATTTAATGCTACGATTATAACATACTGCTTGTATGTGGGTGACGCATAGTAGGAGTCCATAAAATGCTAGTTCCCTCACCATTTCCCCTCATAATTGGTAAAAACATTTCTTATTTTAAAAAGAGCAATAGAAGACTGCACATGGAGTCTGTTTAAAGAATGTACTTCCTTTTCTATAAACACTTTTACAGTATTGGGCATCATTTCATAGGGAAATACACTCCTCCTGTTGATGCTTATGGTAATTCTCTACAACAGTGTAGACTGTACACACATAATGGTAATTTTAGAGTGGAAACATATCAATCACAATTTGTACATATAATTTTGGAAGACATAGTGTGCTATACAGTGTCTCCAAGGAATGTGTTTGTTCTGCAAGGAAATTAAATGCTGCTTGACAATAAATGTTACTGAATGTGTCACCATTGTGTTCCACCTTGCATTCAAACTCCTTGCAAAACTGTACTTTGACAGGTATAAATTTGACAA